CTCAGAATGTGATACTGAACAGCTATATTCTAGAACAGGTAGAAAGAAGGAAGAAGAGATGGATGCCATGAATATTTTTTCCAGCAATATAAGAAAAGACCGTTAATGCTTGCCAATTTTATAGTGATTCTTCATTAAAGGAAATCACATTCCTGAGCTCTGATCCAGCCATTCCTTTTATTCAGGACTGCCAGAAATTTTGCTCTACTTGAAATAGAACAAAGAACTGGTGGTACTTGGGTGTGAATAACAGGCCAATATGTTGCTCTGTGTGTGTCTGTGTGTGTGTGTGTGTGTGTGTGTGTGTGTGTGTGTGTGTGTGTATGTGTGTGTGTGGAAAGAGAGAACCTAGGGCAAGTCATTTCACTTTCTTGGGCCTCAATTTCTTAATCTGTAAGATTAAGGAATTGGACTAGATGACTTCTGAGTCTCCTTGCAACTAAAAATCTATGATCAATTAGGATATAAACTCCTGGAGGGTGAGGATTGTTTTATTTTTGTCTTTGTAGTTCCAGTGCACAGTACCTGGTTCCCAGTTGGTGCTTAGATATTTGTTGATTGATTGATTGATCCTATGATTCTACTTCATTTAAACTAAGAGAAGAATCCAGGTGTGAAACCTGCATCTTATTACAGCCATACTAAAAATTGAAATGAAAAGATTAATAAACAAGAGAGCTAGAACACACCTAAGTCTAATCATGGCCAGCAAGAATGAGGTGACCTTGTGGAGTTTTGGGTAGAGAAGGCTAAGGAGTACTTGGAAAAGAAGATAGAGGGGAAAAAAGAACTTTTGCTTTGACAGGATGAACCATTTATGGAAGATTTTTACCAGTACCATGAAGTTGAAGGTGATCTCTGACATTAAGAAGTTATGTTTTTCTAAGCTTTAACTCAGTCCTTTTTGAAATGTTAGAGAATGGTCTGCCCCCAAATATCTCCATTTTCCTGCTAAAATGCCTGACATTCCCATAATTATAATTATGTATTCCTTTGGGTTAAATCATAGTTACTCCTTAAGTTCAAAGTCCCTTTTAAAATGGAAGATATTTCCTGCAAGGCATAAAACATTAACTCTTTAATTCCAATTAATAATTATCAGGGGTCAATTAACCAGAATTTCTAGCTGAATCTTTGAAAATCAGTTTAGAGGAAATAGGGTGGAAAGACAGGCAGGAACTAATCGGGTACTAAATGGTGGGGGGGGGGAAGGTGTGTTGAGAAGGAAAGGGTCCACAAGGAGAAAAAGTGCCAAACCAAGAGAGATGCAGAGGAGGCAATACTGAGGCTAAGGCTACAATAATGTTTTGACTATGACTGAAACACAGATTCTAAAGGACCTCTGTTACTAAGTTCCTATTTCCCTTAAGGCTGGCTTGTTGGAAGAGACCTCCATTTTCCATAGTTCACCTGTGCTCCTAGAGAATACCGATATTGTGCTGGTGGAAGAGTGAAATACAATACATGCAATTGCTAGGGAGACCACTGTTTAGGAGTTGGCTGTAATTGATATTTTATCAATTTGATGACTGAACTTTGGTTTGAGTGGAGAAAATGCTATGCACCTCCCAGGGATCTATTTCTTCATAATGCAAAGATACATAAAAGTAGGCTTAATCATTTTAATAATTCATCATTAAGATAATTCATTAAATGGTTTGTAAAGATATTTAACTTGGAGAGGACAATGCTACACATCGAATTAAAGACTTATCTAAGGTTTTCCCATGTTATCTGAGAAAGAACAGTCAATGTTTATAGATACCAGTTGTATGCAGAATACTATAGCAGGCAGGTTTTTATAGTAGGTCATGTCAGAGTTAACAAGGACTTAAATTATGATGACATCAGTAGAAACTGAAATATATGTGGTATAGAGAGAAAGAATAAGAATCGAAAAGAACTAAAGTTTCTAGCATGCATGACTATTGGTGTAATTAGCAGAAATTAAAAAAAAGTTAGAGATTGGAGACATAAGAATTAGGGGTGTGTGTATATGTGAGAGAAAGACAGAGACAGAGAAATAAAGGGGGCTGAGGACTGAACCTTAATGAATGTTACATTAAGGGAGCAGGTGAAGGAAGAGGAGTCGACTAAAGGATAGAGAAAGAGCAGACAGAAATGTTTGATGAAAATAGGACAACACAGTAGTGTAACAGAAGTCAAGGGAGGAGAGAATATTGGGAAGAGTGGGGATGGTGGGGAATATATTCAACAGTGTCAAACATAGCAGGGAGGCCAATAAAGGATAAGAGCTGAGAAAAAGCCATTGACTTTTGCAATTAGGGGGTCACTGCTAACCTTCATCTTGAAGAAAGCAGTTTCAGTTGAAATGATGAACTGTAAGTAGTGAAATAGCTCGCCTGAAAGAAAGCCATGATCATGATAACTTGAACCAATTTATCCAATGATAGGAAACTTGCAAGTCTTGGTAGGAAGGTAGGCTTCCAGGCTCAGGCATTGTTCAGGTTACCTCTTAAGGTTATCTTGGTAATTGTTTCAGAAACACGTGGTGCCTCTTCTTTTTTCTTCTCCAGCATTTGCTGTTCCATTCCCTGTCTCCAAAAAAGTCTAGCAAATTCTGGTCACTTGAAATTTCCATAGATATTATTCCACATTCCCAAATTTCTGAGATTTGAAAAAAATCTTGCACCAAGTTCTATGGGCTGTGTGTGGCCTGGAATGGGAAAGAGTGGAAGAAAGATGTCAGGCTCTACAAAGTTCCACATCGATACTACCTAGCATGGAATACTCATTGGAGACAGCCATTCTGGAAAATTAAATAGTTCAATTTGTTAAACATTTATCAGAGCAGGAGCAGATTATGGAATCATGGATTAGACGACCTTTACAATCCCTTACAACTCTGTGATTCCAAGGTACTATACTACTCATTTGTCCCCTTTACTTCCAATCAGAGAAAAGGAATATTCTGTTTCACAGTAGCTATCTTGGAATGAAAAGTTATGAACCGGCATCCTCTATTTAGACACTTTTTTTTTAAATGGAGAAAAAGGAGAAGATTGTTATTGTCTTCTTAAGTTTGGGGTTTGAGGTTTTTTGTTTTGTTTTGTTTTTAGCCCAGACCTATGATTTCATCATAGTGGGAAAATTCTTGATGTGGAAACTCCTGATCAGCAACTATGACTTAGAATTTTAAAGAGTTTCTGAAGTGGCACAGAAAGCTTAAGTGATTTGCCCACAAATATGCATCTAGTATCTGGTGGGATGAACCCAGTTCTACATGGTTAGTCCCTCCAGATAAAACCTCTGATCATGTTAGTTTAAATTCTGACTCTAAATAAAAATGTCAGAAAGGATATCCTTACCCACCCCCACCTCTTTTTTTATTTTTTGTTTTTGCCTGGGTCTGTGATTTCATTGGTAGGAAATTTGGGTGGAGAAACTTCCTTTTTTAGCTGCCAAACAGAGAGCTCTAACCATAACAGAATTCAAGGACTATTTGGAGATGGTTTAGAGCAGCAGGTAGTGCTTGAAACCTTAGAAGCCCCTGACAGCTTTCAGAAAAACTGATGTATTGATGAATTCACAGGGTTTTAACTAACAATGTATTTCATAATTTTGTAAGAGCTAGCAGTTCTCAAAGTATGATCTATGGGTTTTGGGGAATTCCTGAGACTTTCAGGAGGTTAGTAAAGTAAAAACTACTTCCATAATAATAAGACATTATTTGCCTATTAAAATATGCCTCCCTTTTCCAAAAACATCTGAGGCCAGATTTTCTTCAAATACTTCAATAAAAACAACATATTTCAACAAATTGCAGAGTCCAATAGGACAATACAGCTGTCTTCTATTAATTTACACGTTAAAGGAATTTGCAAAAATATGTAAAACAATGCCAATCTTCTCAATATATCTTTTTTGTTTTGGAAAATGTAGTTATTTTTCATGAAATAGGTTATTTATGTTAATATAATGGTTTATTATTATTTTAAATAAATAGATACATAATTTTAAATTATCAGTTTTAATTTCTGCTATAGTAAATACCAATAGATATAACCCACATAAACAACTCTTTGGGGTTCTCAATTTTTAAAAGCATAAAATGATCCTGATACCAAAAAGTTTGAGAAGTGATGAAAGCATGAGCCATTTTATTTAAATACACACAGGCTCTTTTCCCTTCTCTAGGGACCCAGTTGCTTTGTGCAAATACCTAAATCCTCTAACTTGACCACACATCACTTAATCAAGCAGGCAAGCATTTTCAAAGTGCCTATGACATGTCAGGTATTATAGTATTTACATAGTTGCTGAAGGCTAAGAAGAAAAGGAAAATGATAAAGAAATTCAACAGTTGTTGGCATCTTTCTCTTTGTGTAAAAAAGGGAGTAAGTAGACAAGGTGAGCTTTCATTGCTAGAAAGTCACCTATAATGTATGCATTATTTTAGGACCCAAATACTTACGTGAGTATATAGTGCTCACATTTTCTACACATGTAAAACTGGAAAGTTTTTTGCTTGTGTTATTTGGAATAAAATATTTTGTATTTATGCTTAAATTCATGCACCATCCCATCACAGAGAATTACTACCATTTCTTCCATTCATTTTCAGTAGCCTAGAGATCTGTTAAGCGGGCAACTAGGGATGGGCACCAGACTTGTAATTTCCAGGAACTCCTGGATACGGAAGCTCTCTTTATCGATCCAGGATAGCACCTTCTCTGCAAACTTTGTAATCTTAGAGAGCTGCCTAGAACATTAAAGGCTTAAGTGGCTTGCCCAGGGTCTGTACCTAATATAAATCAAAGACAGGACTTCAGTTCTGGTCCTCCTGGCTTGGAGGTCCACTCTATCTACTAAAACCAAGCTGCCTCAAAATTCTCTTCTGAGAAACCTCACTTTTCAGAGATAATTTTGGAATAGCACCTCTTGAATTATGTATGACTACTTAAGATTACTATAGATAAATCATTAACTTTCAATTATTTTGAAAATGTTGTTCCCCTCTCCTTTTTTTCTTTCCTCAGCAATTATTGTCTACAGATTGCCCTGGACCTGGAAATGCAGCAAGCTCCTGATGAAATCCATCCATGCCGGGTTAAATGCTGTTGCTCTGATACTTGCAATTGTTGGTGTGGTAGCTGTTTTTGACTTCCACAATGCCAAGAACATTCCCAACATGTACAGTCTGCACAGCTGGATTGGACTGGTTGCTGTCATAGTTTATGCTGCACAGGTCAGAATGTTTAAAGTGTTGATAAACAATACCCAAAAAGGCAAAATGGATAGTTCAGATAATACCAGATCTGTTAGTATACTTTTCAGAATTTCTTGAGAGTCATCATTCTTTTCTATTTGTTTTTATTATGTTTATTTTCATTATGCATTTCCCCCTAAACAACCTAGGAAGGTGCAGGACTTAGTGACTATGAACTAAAATATGAGATTTAGAATTTACCTGTGTCTATGTGTGTGAGCGCGTGCATGCGCACACATAAATATGCATGTACATGCATGCGTGTGCTCTCATGGTGCGTGCAGCCTTCTCATTAAATCTAGTTTTGGTAAAATGATAAGACTCAAATGGAGCAGAGGTTGTTCCTACCAGTGATGAGGTTCACAACCCATCCCATTCATGCTTGCTTCTCCTTGGTCACTTTTCCCTATATCTTCCCATAAGGTTGTCATGAGATCCATGAAAATTCTAGCAGCCTTCCTAGCTGTCTACTGATGTCACAAAGATTAAATGGTACTAGACTAATATTCTTGGAGATTTTAGTATATGTCTTTTTATCCCAATTTGGGTCTAGGATCATGCTTTTTTCTCATTCATTCATTTTGTAAACATGTATTAAGCACCTACTATGTGCTATCCACTGTGCTAGGTAGTGGGGATACAAAAACATAAACCTCAAACTGCCTCTGACTTCTAGAAGCAAGGAGAAGTAACATGTACAACAGAGGTTCCTGAACTTTCTTGGCTCATACAGCCCTTAGTGACTCAGTAATTATTTTTTTCAAGGCCCTAGGCCAAAAAAGAATACCTCACAGTTTCATTTATTAAGTAATGAGTTTGTTGCATCCCAGCATGCTGTGGCACAGTTTGGAAACCATAAGTAAATGCAAAATATACACAAATTGATATAGTTGGGGAAGGCCCTAAAAACTAGAAGATCAGGAAAGGCCCTCACGTATAAGGTGGCATTTTGAACTGAGCCTTGAAGTATTCAGAGATTCCAAGACATGGAAGAAAGGAGAGAAAACATTTGTGCATGAAGGATAGTCTGTCCAAAGGCAGGAAGACAAGAGATTAAATGTCCTCTACAGGGGACAGCAAAGATGCCGCTGTGAATATAGGGTGAGTAAAAGGGAACAACGCATACTGAGCCTGGCAGGGTAAGCTCCATCCAGATTCTGAAGGGTGTTCAATGCCAAGCAGAGGTATTTGTACATTATCTTAGGGGAATTAGGGGGCCACTAATCCTTCTTGTTGAGGAGAGTAGCATGGTCATTCCTGACCTGAGCTTTGGAAGCTTTGTGGAGGATGGATTAGAAATGAGGGAACTTGTGGCAAGAAAATTACTGAAAAAATCCAGGTGAGAGGTGATAAGAGCTTGAACTAAAGTGGTGTCCAGGAGGCTGGACAAGGTAAGATGGCCGTGTCAAACTCAATTAGAAATGGGGGCAACTAAACTATACATAAGGGTCCCTATTGGCCATATATTGACTTAGAAAACCACATATTAACGTTATCTATGTTGTATTATATTTTTATTTTGTTAAATATTTCCCATTACCTTTTAATCTGGTTCAGACTGCATTGAAGCACATTATAGCCTGAGTATTGTGGATGGCAGACTATATGTTTGATATGGCTGTTGTAAGTGATATTCTTCATACCTTCCCCAGTATCATGAATTTAGGAATAGTAGGTATTTATTAAATATTGTTTGTTCCTTCATTCTAGAAGAGGACCATGGCATCAGGAAGGTGATGCCATGACTTGCAAGCGAATTGGATTTAAGTGAGGGAGGGCTGTGCAGTCACCAGCCTCAGTCTCTCCTCCAGAACCATCTGTGTCCAATGGCAAGATATAGGTCAGGATGACTGGAGATAGCTCCAGATTTTTAAGTTAAGATCTTTCCCAGGTCTCAGTTTGATTGAGGAAAGGCCCATTCAGTGATTAAGGTCAGGAAAGAAATGCTGCAGAAAATATCCTCTTTTACCTAGTTAAAAAAAAATCAATCTGGGAGGGGAAGACCCTGTGAGTTTCTGTCTAAAACAGAAAGAATTGCAATTTAATTCACTCTGAGTCATCGGGGCCCAAACAATGATTAAGTAGGATTTGGGCAGAGTGATTTGGGTTTAAGGTGTGGTCCTTTAGGAAGAAATCTAGCTGGTAAACCCCAAGATATCTTCTGATAAAAATTTAATTCCTTCAGACAGAACACCTGCAGGTAAAGTGAGAGAGTGAATGAATGAAATCCCTTACTATTATAACATAGGAGTGAGTCATTCGGGCAATGTAAAGTTCCCACCCTGCCCTATCATTGCCAAATCCTGAGTTTCATATGTGTGGCTAAAAAGGATGAATATACCACAATAGCTAGTGTTTATATTGTGCTTTGAGGTTTGCAAAGAGTTTTATGTATGTTTGCAAAGAGTTATATATATCATTTGATCCTCACAACAACCCTGAGAACGAGGTACTATGATTATACCCATTCTACAGATGAGAAGTGTGAGGCTGAGAAAAGTCAGATGACTGGCCTAGCACTGCACAGCTAGCAAACGTCAGAGTCAGGATTTAAGTTCAGGTCCTTCTGACTCCAAGTCCAGGGTTCTACCACAGGACCACATAGCTTCCTAGATGACACAGTCCTTTGGCAGAATTGGGAAGACTCAACAGCAAAATCCAGAATGCTATCTTCCTTTTGCTTTACCTGCTGGCTATATTTCCTTCATTTTTTAAAGTACCTACTGGGCTCAGAGAACTCGACTTAGAATTATAGTAAAAGCTCAGTTAAATGGAATGCCTGGGGAATTGAGAGTTCTAGTTAACAAAAAATTAAAAAGAAAGTCTGCTTGTTTTATCCCTTGTCATTGAAAAAAATTCATAAAATATAACAATATTTTGTTATCTTAGTAATTCTAGGATACTGAATATAATTAACCGTTATTAAGCAAAAGCCTTGCTTTGTTCAAAGGGACATAATTCTGAGTATCAGTTTTCATCATGCAGTATTATAGCTATAGAAAATATAGGAGCCTGGGGGATACCAGTATATCATCCATCATCACCACCTTTCACATTTCTACATAAGGCTTTGTTGTTTACAAACGTTCACATTTGTTTCTTACAAAGCACAATAAAAATGTGAGCTCTTATCTGCTAACAACCCTGTGAAGAAAGTAATAAAGTATTATATTCACTTTTCACAGATGAAGAAACTGAAATACAGAGGGGTTAAGTGATTTGCTGAAAGTCACAAAGCTAATAAGCCTCAGGGCTAGTACTTAAACCTATGCCATTGGATTCCAAATCTGATGTTCTTTATAATGCTGCATTAAAAAAAAAATCCAACCAGAAAAAATGACATCCTTACTAGTCACTATGCTTTCCTGTCAATTGTCTCTTTTCTTTAAGAACTATAATTTGGAAAAAAAAGATTCCAGTTGTTTGGGGATTCAGATGAGCTGTTTTTGCTATATGATGAAAACCATTTCTTCCTCAAGGAATTTCCAGTCTAGGGCAGAGGGAAGAATGAATATCTGGCATCAGGGAAAAGCTTCCAAGTACAACCAAAAAATGGAAATCTCAGAAGATGAGTCAGGGCACAACAATATAGGATTGTGGAGGATTAGTTCAGCATTCTATGGCCTTTTCTTTTCCTATCTCTTTCTTCAGTTTGTTGTTGTTGTTGTTGTTGTTGTTGTTGTTGTTTTTATCACTCAACATTCTTAGCATTGGAGCTCCCTTTTGGAAGGAAGACTGTTTCCTCTTGTCCAGCTGGGTGGAAGCAGAAGGGAGCAGGACTTCTCCTCTGGTACCATAGGATAGGTGAACATCCAGGTGTCCCTTTGGACCAAGCTTATTAGCTTGGAATCTCCAGTGGATGAACAAATACTAAAAAGCATTAGAGGAGAACCACAGCCTTGGGTGATGATTTCAGTTCCATGGTTATCTGCAGCCACCTCTCTTGGATGATGGAGCAGAAAGAGCATGAGATTCAGAGCTGTAGGACCTAGATTGAAATCCCAACTCTCTCTACTTTATTCATTCAATACTGGACAAGCATACTGAATGCAGAACACTGTGTTCAGTACTAGAAGAGATGCAAAATTTAGATTAAAGCACAATTGCTACCCTCATGGAATTTGGAATCTAAGAGATTAAAAGGACATCAACATGGATAACTATAATGAACAACAAGGTATGTTAAGTGAATAAGAGAGTTACAAGGTGCTATGTGAGATCCAGTGAGAAAGGTGGCTACAGAAGTGGATATTGGGAGGAGAATGCATTTCATTTGGACTTTAAAGAATAAGTTTATACTCAATGGAGAGACAGAGAGAGAGAGAACATTCCAGTCAGAGGGAATAGAGTACATTGTATGTGCAGAAGGCAGAGAGTAGTCGCTTGTAGAATAATATGATTTAAAGCTGAGAGTGCCAGATTGTGGGGGAGGGGTGGGGGGGGCTGATTATTCCCAAAGAAGCATGAAGGACAAATGGAAGATAGTAGAATTGAGAACATTTGTTAGGAGTCTCTTAGTGAGAACTTCTACCAGGGTGTTGACAGTGGGAATAGAGAAAAGGGAACACGTGCAAGGGGTGTTGGGAGAGGTGAGGAAGAAAGAAGAGTCAAATACAGCCCCACAGTTTCAAACTTAGGAGACTATGTGCCACAGATAAAAATAGTGGAGTCAAAAACAGGGACATACTTGGAGGAAAACAAATCAGCTTGATTTTGGACATGAGGACTTTGAGATGTTTATGGGATAGCCAGATTTAGAGGTCATGTACGCAGTTAAACATTTACTTCAAAAAAGTGGTCAGGCATGGATATGTAGATTTGTAAGTCATCTGCTTAGAAGTAGCAGTTGAAGCTGTGGGAGCAAATGAATTACAAAGGGAAAGGGTGTCCAAGGAGAAGAGAAGAGGGGAAAAAATAGGCAGCTAGGTGACTCAATGGATAGAGCACTGGCCCTGGAGTCAGGAGAATCTGAGTTCAAA